CGTGTATTAAGCAGATAACTGCATTCTGGTATGTTGCATCGCCTAGTGTAGTCCGGATAATGCCTCCCTGATGATGGAGGCAGTAAGCACGTTTAAAACGACGGTGAACTTCCACGCGTCTACTCGACGCAATATCCCATAAGGCTGTAATCTTCATACTCGTCCCGTGAGTACCTGTCATTTTACTTTTCAGTCAAGCCCTTCTGAAACCTTTTTTTATATATTTCTGTGTAAACACTTTGCAGTGATCTCTGTTTTCGTTATTAATTACAGTATATAATATGAATCGTACTCACCTGCGCAGAATGCCAACATTATTAGCGACATGAGAACGACGAATCTCGCCATGTCCTTGAACGTCTTCCCCAGGGACACCTGCAAATAAAAAGGGTCGATATAAGATCTTTCCGTGCTCTTAATCGATAGGATAAGAGTTGTGTAGGTACCACACAAAGTCGTCAAGCGGCAGGCCGAGCGCCTTGTTCGCTGAGACTCCTTACCAGCAGCGGGCCGAGTTGAAGGTTGAGTTGCAAGAGCAGCAGCAGGCGGAGGTACGCGAAAATGGTTGCAAGTGCGAAGAAACCCTCGCCGATGAGGGTGTTGTCCAGGTGGTCCCAGTACTTTCTCTCCTCGTTCGCGAGGTTGGAGTTCTGCATGTCGATGTACGCCAAGATCTTGAAGACAGCAGCAATTACGAAGAGGGCCTCCATCAGCAAGTCGTACCTGCAGTTCAAAATAATGTTATAGCTGCTATTTTTACCGTTTCTTTGACCATCTATTCCATAATTCAGCTACCAAAATAAGTATTGAAGGCACAGATAGAAGTCGCCTAAGAGTTTGAATTTAGGTCAGGAAGATCCGCGAAGCTACCGTTGTCATTAACGTGCTTGGGTGAGGTAAAAAGTCCTACTTTCGCTTGTTGCTGTGAACCTTACGAAATAATCAAAGAGTACTGTAGATTGTATTGAATGGGGGTTGGAATCCTTACCAGTTCGTCAAGGATGAGAAGAAGCCCTGAGGTCCTTCTCGCAAGTAGAGTCTGATTGAGCTCCATATATAGGACACCACATACACAAGCACCGCTACTTCGAATCCTGCCAGAAGGAATTGTAATTAATTTCAGATGTATAGTTCTAGTGGTTAATTAGTTATCACCATGAAATCGACAGATAAATGTTTGTCATGATATGTTAAATTCTGGCATTTCATTGGCTGATCGATTCCACTTTCGTTTCATTTACAACATCCAATGAAATTCGTTTGATTAAATGGCTATTAAGGGGTACAGGCACGCAGGTATAGTGATGCAGTGAACTTGTTCTTTTTATGAAGTAACAAATTGTACAAGTTGAAAGGAGATTGTTTGAAGAAAACTTGTTTCCGAGACCTGAGATTCTTGGAAGAATTAAGATGTGTTTGTCGTCTGCTGGACTGACGCCATGCACTCTTGTATCTCTTGTATGGGTTACCAGAGTTTGGAAGGACGTATCCCTTCCGCATTTTTTGAATATGTAGTCGATGTGTGTCTTGGAAGCTTTTGTAACCACCTACAAGACTGCACAGCGCCACAGCCTAAAATATTTCTTGACATTCAGCGAAACTAATGTTCTCATCTGATAGTGAGGTACTAAGTGAAATTTGGTACCTATGTCGAGCGGCCCCCTTATATGGTTCGTCTTATCCTGGTTCGACACCATGAACACACAAGTCAGGAAGACTATGTAGGAAGCGAAGCTGTTCAACATTCTGTTGATGGGCGAATTCAGGAAGGCTCCCGGTATGCTTGTGGGTGCTACTAAACATATAACTGCGCAGACGGGGAACCCAATTATCCGCAGTAAGATGTTCAGGAACTTGACGAATTCGGATAGCCGGCGCCATGAGTACCAATTCCCACACCAGGCTGTTTTTACCACCTGCGGACACGTACCATAAACCATTAAATGAATTTCAGCTTGTTTTACAGGGATGTGTTTGCTTATGGTATTGCCAAGTGCGATTGTATTCGCTGTTAACTTCTGAGTCTTTCACCTTTATCACAACTTCCACACTTTCCGATAATGTTCCACCGAAGCGTTGGTAACCGCCAACAGGTCTACACGTTTCACAACCCCTAAGACCATAATCTTTGTCTTTGCCGTTTAGAACCTCAGATCAGTTCTTCTTAATAATAGCCCAGCTTTACTCCCCATAAAAAATGTTACTGCTTTTTAGTTAAATGGTCTGCGGTTACCACCGTCGCCGAGTGTCGCGACATTTATCGTCTCGACGTCTGCCCTAAATTCCGTATCGTGCGAGTATGAGCCTCCGGACGCCATTAGACGTGACTTTGGCAAACCGATGCCAAGCGTCGTTACTCCAAACGTCTAGCTACCGAACGTCGCGACACTCATCGTCCAGATGCGAAGAAAGGGAAAATGAGTTTCGGAACGGCGCTGGCCAACCGGAGTTCAGCGTCGCGGCGCCAACACTGTACTCTCTTTAGAGTTTCTTGTAGGCCTAATTATTTTCGGTGTGTTGTGTTGATTACTGTATCAATTCGCTCGTGTTGAGTTGTTGTGGGGTATGAACATTGTGCAATTACCTCTTGAACTTTCCGGTGCGCCACAAATTCCTTTTGGTTGAGGTCCATTGCAAGAGACAGACGTGGAAACTTCACGCGCCAATTTACATCGCAACCTGCCCGTTGCTTCAGTACATACTCTACTTCCTCTGGGTTGTTGCAGCAATCTGTGAGACGGAAGACATTAATTTCATTGTGCGTTAGTCTTTGAAGAGTATGTAGTTGCGGTGACGAGTGTCCACCAAATTTTCTGGTGTGTGCACATCTTTTGTGATACCCGTATTCTCTTAAATCTTGCTGCTATTGAGAAAGTGCCCACCGCAGTGACAGCAAAGTAGACGGGATCAAATTGTGCGCTTCGCCTACGTCACCATCTTACTGGTACAGGGAAAGTATACCGGTGCTGGGAAAAAAGATGTCTGCTATCCCACACACTCTTCTGATCCCCTTTCCAGTTTCCTTTACATCTGATGGACATGGAACTCGCAGTTTGGTCCCGACTACTGCTTCTATCCCCCTACGGTGAGCCTGTTATCTAATTGGTCTGCTGTTCTTGCACACACTTTCACAGCAGAGAAGGTACATGTGCCTGTTTTTCAACAAACTGGTGTATGGACCAACCTATGAGATCTGCGGCGAAGCTTCGCACTTGTTTGGCAAGGTCCAGGTAGAACACACGTAACTCCAGGTCAGTGGATGCATAGTCCATCAGTTCCTTGTTCAGTTTGAACGCCGTAAGGATTTGGTCCGTGGATTTGTGGCAGATGTAGGCCGGGCTGATAATGGCTTTGTACGTGTCCAGACACCTTTTGGACGCCATTAGCCTGTCCTCGTTCTTCTTCAGATTTTCCCTAAAGGAATAAGCAATTCGAGGCTGTAACCCTAGCAACAGTTTTACTCAAGAAGGTGGTTGTTTTCTGGGATGTTGCGGCGTGTAGTCTGGTAGAAATTGACTGACGGTTCGAAGGTGCTTACTGCTTCTTTCGTCAGGATTATGAGTATTTAGAGCACAACATCCCAGAATACAGTCGTCATCATACTCGTCGCCATGGTAACCTGAAATCCCACATTAGTTATCCTGATAACAAGAGGAACGAACGGGAATAGTTCCCATTTTATGGAGACGATTGCAAGTGAATCTCTAAGATGCGGGAAAAGTATGAGATTGTTTCAGTACAAGACGAAGCAAAGAATGGTAACGCCCTTGGCGATTTGATGTACAGGCTCTGAATTTTGTTTCTTTTGAAGACTCCAGGTAGAAGTTCAGTTTTCCTGCAAACTCTGATTTGTAAGATTTTATGTTTTCACAACGGTGAGTATGAAGATTCATCGCCCTGATGACGGAGGCAGTATGACCTCTGAAACGTTGGTTAACATCTACCAGACTACAGACTTCGAAGTATTCTCGAGCGGTCAGGGTCGGAAGTTTAGACTTAGAATACGATTTGAAAAATTCCTCTGTTTCTTTCATCTCTGATAATGAGAATCAAGGGTGATAAAAGCTAGAGACAATATCCATAACGTCCATTGTAACTCCACATTAACACCAATTTTCGCCCTAGAAGACTAAATTGCATTCATTCGCCGAGAAAACTTGAGAACTTATAAACTCCGATCTTTGATTTCTAGATCAAAGAACTATGTTGTGTCATCAGCGTAATTTGTAGAATAACGAATTTTCGGGAGCGGTAGGTCTGTAACAATTTTAAATGAGGCGATCGTGATAAAAATCATGTTAGTCGATCACGCCAGCCTTTTCGGTTCTAAAAAGCGTCGTTAAATAAAAACAGAAAAGAAACGAACCGGCACCAGGCGCAGGAGCATCTGGGGTGATGTGGATGATGGATTGTATGACACCGTTCCAGTAGCATTCCTATGATCTCGTAGTTGTCGCACTGGGCGGCCAGCATCAGCGGTGTCATGTACTCGGGGAAGTATGCGCTGTCGGGACAACCCGCGAACTCTAGACCGCGTTCGATGTCCTCCAGCTTGTCCAGGAGCAGCAGAAGGATGCTGGGTTGATCTTCCCTCACTGCATGCAGCGCGCAGTCCGAAAGGAGGATATCTTTCTGATCCAAAAGAAAGGTGACCATTCCTCCGTCGTGGTTGTGGACCGCCAGTAGGAGAGCCGACACGCCCTGTAGCACAGCAGTTATTAAATGACACTGTATCAGCTCTTGACTGACATCCAACAGAAGTGGACAAACCATAGCATTTGCAGAAAACGTACCTTGAAGTCCACACAATTTATATCGAATCCCGGATTCTCTTCAAGGAATTTCTGCACCGCGTTCACGTCTCCTTCGTCTACAAGACTGAAAAACTTCTTCTCTTTTTTGAAAGCGGAGCGGTTCCCGCGACTGGGCCCTTTCGTGAACTGTCAGAATAAAACAGTGTAAAATTAAATACATGCTGTTGTGTGTGTGTAAGGAGGGGGGGAGAGGGGGCCACGTCACATCACGACTCACAAAAAGTATTTTTTGTTATAACTAAAGAACGAATTACATACGTATTAATATTTTTATTAATATTGTTATGATTAGCTTTAACCTCTGATACTGAAATAGCTCTAAAATACGCACACATCAAATTGTCTTGTCCTTACGCACAACGAATATGTAAAGTACCCCGACACCAAATTTCCCAACTCTATGACACGCCTGTGCAATGGCATCCAACGCTCATAAGATAAACATTCGAGAGACATGAGGAAAGCGCTGGATTTCGAAAGGTTTGGAGGCTGGTTGCTATTACCTTGGATTTACTCAGAGACCAGCCAAGTGCTGTACCAGAAATGAAGGCCCTCTAAGTTAGGACCGAGGGCTATGGCACACATCGTGAATGGTGGAATGATAATCAGCAGGAGGAAATCATAGAAGAAAACTAAGATAACATCCGGTTCCAGTGCCGTTTTGTCCACCAGTTGAAATCACCAGGGACTGGTCCCGGATGTCAGCGGTTAGAATCCAACGTCTAGCCACATGACCTATGGCATCATTATTGTTGTTGTTACTATTATTATTATTATCATCATCATCATTAACTGCTGATGACTTCTCAAGATGACTTTGAGTCATGTAGTTAGAAGAAAATGTTAAATTGTTCCTGTATGTCCTACCTGATAGCAATGGCTGCTCGTCGCCGGCTCCGTGCGTTTGAAGTAGCGTTGGCACAGCGTAGGCATGAGCTCTGAGAACAATTCCTTGTCCTCCGTTTGGTCGATAACCTGCAGGCGTAGAATAGTAAGTGTGTGATGAAGTTAGGCGATCACAAGGGCCGCAAAGTACAGGTTTTCTAATTGGTGAGGGGGGGGTGTGTTTTGACCGATTAAAGAAAGTGGAAATTTGAGGGGTCAAAAATTTTTAGAACCTCGTAACTGCATTTCGTCAGCAAAGTTTCCTTCTGTTTAAAATAACGAGTGAATATTATGTTTGAAGTTGCCGCTGCCTATATCTAGAAATTCAGAACGTGCTTTTCAAAGGGCTAAGTTATCTTAACGCAGCTTTTTTTCTCGCATTTGACTGTTCCGTTTACCGATAACTTTCTATTCAACATTTTTTATGTTTAAGTACTTTATCTTATTCTGCATACATTCTCCATAGTTCTGCTGAAATTCAATGACAGATGACAGGATATGCCCCACATTTACGACAAAATAGGATGGCAGTGTATATATCAGTATCTTGGGGGTACTTTGTAGTATGTAGATATAAATTTAGGATTTTTTGGGGGGGAAAGAGAGAGATATATATCAGTTGTAACTGATCTAATCAAACCAGTTATAAACCCACAAAACGAACAATATCTATCACTCACTGTGTGAATGAATCGATACATTCTCAAAAGACCACCAGTGATTTATTGGCTCATCATATCGATTATACTTGTTAAATAAAATTAAATAAAAATAAATAAAAAATAAATAAATATAATAAATAAATAAAAAGGCACAATTTAAACCAGCATTAAAAAGATACTTAATTACACACTTCTTTTACCCTGTCGATGAATTTCTAATGTTTACAAGTAAGTCGTAATTTATCTATTGTATATAATGGATGGGTTTATTTTAAATTATCTCTACTTTATGTGAACGCTTTGTTTGTATTTGTGACATTTATATAATAAAATGACTTGTATTTGTATAACATGTATTGTATTATTATAACTTTTTCCACATCCTATTGTCATCTGACTAACTTATGGATCCATGGAATGTAATAATGATGTATGTATGTTAATTCTTCTTTTAATTGCTTGCATCATTACAATACAACCTAGAAGCAACAATAAATTACTAAAATACCCACTCACCACATAGCATAAGTTTGTAAATGAGAACTTGGCTTTTTTCCCAGGCGTCCTTATCAGTAAAGCCTGTAACCACTCAAATATGGAGGACACACCTTGCCAGGTGGGGATCAGGTTAAAAGGTGGTGGCAAGCTGCTTCGACTCATGTAGCTCAGGTACATCTGAAACACGGAGTGATTGGCACATAGAGCAAACAGGCAGGGAACGAGTGGAAGAAGGGACGAGTTTCTCTTTCCATCGGTACCAATTTTGTGCATCTGAATTTCATTAAACGTGAGTAACATGTGTTTCAAATCGGGAACATCATTTAGACTAGCCCTGTATAAAGACCTGAAGGGACTAGTTGTAATTTACAGAATGTAGGGGT